GTTCAAGTCTCATGTAAATATATATATATATATATATGTATATATACACATATATTATATAATATTCAAGTATGTAAATAAAAATACACATATATTGATCGTAATTTCATTTATATAAATGAGTTTATAGATATTTTGATTATACATACATAAGTATGTGTGTGTGTTCAATTATTGTTATGTAAATAACAAATAGGGTCATATGAGATAAACGAATCAAAAAAACAAATATTGGGTGTAAGCAATGAAAATGGATAGTCTAATTAATTAAATGTTTTGATAATAATTACATCAATAAAAAAACATAGTTTGTGTTTTTTCTAAAAATTAGTATTGCGATGCCTAAAAATGTATCTTATTGTTGGTTTTTTTTCTTACAAAATTACAAATTAAGAAATTATAAGTAAACATAATAAAAAAAATTAAGTGAATCCACAACAAAAGGAAAAATAATCAAAATTCTCACAAAATTCTAAAGCCTCAATGGAGACTTCTTTAATCCATGTTCCAATGTCTTAGACTTCGCTCTTTAATCCATATTCCAATGTCTTATTACATATATTGATAAACTTGTGTATACTCTTCTGTCATAGATGATAGATGGAAAAGAAGAGGAGAGAGCGTACCTATAGTTTATAACTCGTACATGGATATGAAGAATACATAAATGAAACAAAACCTAAAGATTGAGGGATTTAGAGAAAAAACCAAGGATTGAATGATTTAAATGTTAGAGTTGAAACATACCAAGAGAAGGGAAGGGTTTTTGAGTTAAATGTGAACATTAATTTGCAAAATTACTAAGGAAAAAAAAATCAAAACGTGGAAAAAAGAGGAAAAGTGGTTTTTAGATGAGAGATGGAAAAGAAGAGCGAAGAGCGTACCAGTAATTTATAACTCGTACATGGAGATAGAGATTGAGAACACATAAATAGAGTTGAAACGTACCAAGAAAAGGGGAAGGGTTTTTTGAGTTAAATGTACACATAAATAGAGTTGAAGCGTACCAAGAGAAGGGGAAGGGTTTTGAGTTAAATGTGAACATTAATTTGCAAAATTATTAAGAAAAAAAAATCAAAATGTGGAAAAAAAAGGAAAATATGATCTCTACGTCGAGGAGATGCCACGTCAGCATATCATGATTCTGCTTTATAGATATATATATAGATTATATAATAGTTATAATTAATACAAACTAGAAGGGTATTCGTGCAATGTACCGAGATACATCTTGATTTTAATATTTTATTTTATTTTTTATCTTAGTCGATGTTATAATATGATCTTATGTGATTTTGAAAAAAATGATAATGTTTTTATTTTTTAATAAAATATAAAATTGAAGTATCATAAAAAGTTGACAAAAATATATCGATATTAGTATCAAATTAACTATTTAAAATTCTTATTTCTGTGTAATTTTTTAATTCAAATTTTTTTATTATAATTTTAGGTTCAATAACGAGTAATTTATATTTGATTTAATAATATAAATTTCTTATAAAAATAATAATTAATTATTTTGTTATAACTCGATAATTATCCTAATTATATTTTAGACTTTTTTATTTTAAAATGACATGTTTATTCTCATTTTGATTATGTTTATCCGCAGTTAGTTCTACGAATTCAAACATCGAGTTTTAATAAGTTGTACTTTTGCATAATTTACTTGTAATATTGAATTTTAAGTAATATGCATCAATATACGGTAATTTATGCATAACAAAAATATATCGATATCAATTAACTGTTTAAATTTCCTCATTTTTTTGTGTAATTTTTTAATTCAAATTTTTATTATAAATTTAGGTACGATAACAAATTAAATTTTATTTTGGTTTAATAATATAATTTTCTTATAAAGATAATAATTAATTATTTTGTTAGAACTCGATAATTATTTATGATAACTACTCATGAAGTTAAGATCCGAGTTTCTAGATGGCGGCAAGCGTAAACCTGAAATATCTACCAGTTACCATGAATCTTGATTTCATATATATAAAGAGTCGGTTTACATTTACATTACGTGTAATTTTAGTAAGAAAATAACATGTGATTTTTACATTAAAATTACGTGTAAAATCACATATGATTTATGTGTCGCCCACACACTCAAATGTCGATCATTAGTATAAAATTACATTTGATTTTGCATATTGGTTTAAAGCTTCTCATACCAATATAGCAGAGCATTTGAACTAGAGGATTCATGGCTAAGGCATGGTTTGGTAAAAATGAGATAACTTATTTTTTGGTACGCGTTTCGAAGCTAGCTTATTAAAATGCTCTTGGAGTAGTATGTAGCTTRTTGTTACTTTTTTCAATTATAACACTTATTAATATTAATTATAAATAAATATTAATAAAATTTAAATTTTACTAATATTAATTCATATACATTGGAAATTAATTATCAATTAATTTTAAT